CATTCCCAGGAGAATCATGGAATTATTTAGGTTGGAAAAACCTTCAAGATCACCCAGGAACTTGTCACCTGGTAAAGGCAGTGCGCAAGCTCCTAGAAACAACTTTCACCTTCGCTAAGGATGAGCTGCTAACAAGAACAGGCAAATTCCAGGCTTCCAAAAGGAAGGAGGAGGACCAGGGGCTGTTTTCCTGGAATGCCCAGGGCTGGGTTGATCCCCCCAGGGCTGGGATGTCCCCCCAGGGCTGTACCTTGTTCCTGTACTCAGCGATGGCGCCCAGGTTGGGGCGGAGCTGCTGCCGCTGTGCCTCCAGCAGAGCGATTTTCTTGCTGAGCGCGTCGGGCTCCTGCAGCGCCTCCAGCTCCTCCTCGCTCAGCACCCGCAGCTCCTCGGGGGCCTGGCCCTCGATGGGGTGCAGGGATAACTTGGAGATCTGCAATGTAAAACCCAGGGGATGGAAACCTTGAACAAACACCTGGAGCTGTTTTAAAATGAGTTTTTTCTGGATTGGTACAGGGAAGCTTCTCCAAACAAGGTTCTTCCCATACGTCCCTTTAAAATAGGATGTGAAAAAGAGAATAAATATCCCTTTAGCCTATGATCCTGTTCCTGCATATCCAGAAATAAGCTGTGATCTGAAGAATTTGCTCCCAAATCCTGTTTTCTAAGGGGATGTTGATGAGTTCATCCTGGGATCCACAGAGAAGCTGTGGCTGCCCCATGGTCCCTGGAAGTGCCCAAGGCAAGGACAGGGCTTGGAGCAACCTGGGATAGTGGAAGGTGTCCCTGAGGAGCTTTAAGGTCCCTCCCAGCCCAAATCATTCCACAGATCCCTGATTTAAGTTTTAGGAAGCTTTTGTACCTCTTTTTGCCAGAATTTAACCTTTCCCTGGTGGGTGGAAATGTGGCTGTCGATTTGTTCAATTTTCAGCTTGATGCTCAGAGCTTCACTTTGAAGGGCATGTTCAGCATCCCGAATCGTTTTCATCTCCTCCAGTAAATTCTTCTGCTCCTCCTGCACTGCTGGCAAAGCTTCCTGAATAGAAAAATGGCAAATGTCCCCAAAAAGGGCATTAATCAATTACCTACAAAAATGTTGCCCCTGTTTTGGGTGAAAAGTCTGTTTTTGCTTAATTTACTCACGGCTATTGATGGAAACAAATAAATATTCTTGGATTTATAACTGATCCCTGAATTCTGGAATGACTGAGAAAATGCTGCAAGTTTGTATTTTCATTCCAGATCTGAATCAAATGGGTCCTACACTCATTTTTAGCTAATTAGAGAAAGACATCAAATCTTAAGATTTATTTGAAAGTATTTCAACCATCATGGTTTTCCCTCTCTCACTGAAATCTAGATGGGAAACTAAAATCCCACATAACAGCAAAAATTTTATGTTTAAGCAACTTTTAAACCCAGCAATTTCTCTGGGGAGACTGAGTGTTAAGTTTTTTCCTAAACTGGGTCAGGATAAATTTCCAGGTGAGAATAAAATATAAAAATACACCACTGCCACAGCCTGGTTGTTCTGCAGAGAGAATGGGATGTCAGTGGGATACAGGGAGGATTTAACTCCTCTCCCTCATTTCCCTGGAGCCCAGAGTGGTCCCAGGACTCACCTCAGCGTTCCTGCACTCGTTCATCACCTCAGTGGCTTTGTCCTCCAGCGTTGTCAGCTCTGCTGCCAAGTTCTTCATTTCCTTCTCATTGTCTTCCAGCTCCTTCTCTGTGCGCTGCAGAGCCTCCTCGGATTTCTTCAGGTTCCTGCCCAGGGACAGGGATCTTTGTGAACCTCACAGGAAATAATCCAGGAGCACAATCTCACTGACAACGAGGGGGAAGTGCTGCTTTGGGCACCAACTCTCACACTCCAGAGGGATCCAAGGAACACAAAGTTGTCTTCCTCAGCAGCCAGGCTTCACTAAATGACTCCATCCCTTCTTTCAGTTTGGAATCTCTATGGAATGGTGAGCTCCCATAAAAACTAGATCCCATTTTATTTCCTGATATTAGGTCTCCTATTAAAACCAGTCCCCTCAGATCTGAACTGCTCCTGCACATCCATTCGAGCGCTGTTTTGGACTTTATCCTGAGTATTGCAGTTTAGGCAATATTAGAGAAACAATTCAGACAAATACTGGAGAAATACTGATTAAATGTGACTTTTAAATTCTTAAAAACTACAAAATTTTACTTCCCTTTCCCTCCCTGAGCCCCACCTCAGCACAGGCACTGAGTGAATGCAGCTCCAGCCTGAGGCTCCCCGTGCTGTACCTGTCTGCAGTCCTGGCTGCCACCTGGGCCTTGGTGATGGCTGAGGAACATTCATCCATTTCCTTGTCAATTTTATCAATTTTGTCCTGCTGAGCCTTCAGTTTCTTGTTGTTGGTGTCCATGATGAGCTGGTGCAGTCGTTTCACCTCCTCCTCCATCTTCCCAGCCTTCTCAGCCACGCGCTCGTAATCTGTCCATGGGAAAGGGGAGTTCAGGGCATGGTGCCAGCCCT